ATATAGCATGTTAGAGTATATTTTAGTCTATTCATCCTTTGTATTACAAAAGTGTTAGCGGGTTACATTTATATTATTTTGATAGTCAATACAAAATTGATTTTTAATTTTGACCATTGTTGACCTGAAAAGAGACCAACTTTGGTCGCTAAATATACATAAATTTAAACTATGGTCGCTAAATTTAAATCAGATTTATTTATATTTTATATAATATTTAAAATAATAATATAATTATTAATCGTTAGAACTCGGTCCCAGATTAGCGACCAAAATTGGTCTCTATTTTCGTAAGCGACCAACTTTGGTCGCTAAATTTGAATCATATTTTTTTATATTTTATAATTTTTTTAAATAAAAATATAATTATTAAAATTTTATAATTGGGTCTCATTTTAGCGACCAAAGTTGGTCGCTATCTGCTTACCCCTTAATTAGCGGCCAACTTTGGTCGCTAATTTTAAATTGTATTTATTTATATTTTATAATTTTTTTAAAATAATATTATAATTATATAAGTGGGTCCCCTGTAGCGACCAACGTTGGTCGCTAATCTCAGTATACCTTTGACCAAGCAAGTGTGACCAGTCCGGTCAATATTTTGACAAAATTAGCGATCAACCTTGATCGCTAATGTATATCAAATAATTATTTTATTATTTTCGCCAATTTAGCGATCAACTTTGGTCGCTTTTCTTGACAGACCAACTTTGGTCGCTAAAGTTTGGTCGTTTTTTTCCTGAATTCTAGTAGTGAAATTTGACTTAGAAATAAGAGAGAAAGAACATCAAAGAAAAAGAAGAAGAATAAAAATAAGAAAAGGAATGGGGGTGGGTGAACGGAAAAGAAGGAAGATTAATTTTTAAAATTCCATTTAAAATTTTTAAAGACTAATTTTTTTAATAATATAGGATCCACAAATCCACATGTCATATAATAAAGACCAAACATGTGACATGATATTCATGTCAGAGCCATTGGCGAACATGTTCAACAAAAAGTGTCTATTAGTATTCATTCCGTCAAGTTGAAGTGTTCAAATGGGAACAATGTAAGTTCGTGTAACGGCTTTAAAATTTGATACTAGTTTAAGTCACCAGGAAGCCATTATGTTTTTTTTAATTACTCAGAAAGTTTTAATAGACTTGTAGAGTGTGTGCGTGTATATATATATATATTCATATATACTTACTTAGAGTATAAAAGTGAATAATCATTAAAAAAGAATTTCTTATTGACAAAGGAATTGAACTCTGAATCTGATCAGACTATTTGCACTCTTTTCATCCTCAATTTTCCTTTGGCAAGAAATGGAAGCAGAAGAACGAAAATATATAATGTTCCAAAAGCAAAATGATATCTTTTTCTTTTTTTCCTTTAGCTCACATTTCGTCTCTCTGTTGTAATTTGGCATAGTATTTTGTAACCTTCGCTGAATTCATTATTTTTTTCTTGAGCGGTGAAGAGTGAAGATAATGTTTAAAAATTCATTGGGATGATTGCCAATTCAAAAAGAAGGTGGACAATCCCTTTAAAGAGCACATTGCCATGGTTGAGGCGTGATAAGCGCACCAAGTCTCTCTCCCTTCCGTCTGCAGCGGGTCTATACATATTTCCGCCTTCAAAAAGTATAAAGCACTATAGTTGTAGTTCAGAATATTAAGGTGAAATACATATATACAGAGAAATAATTGCTCCTATTGAGAGTCTAACTCAAGATCTTCTCTAACTAAATAGGCGTTCTAACCGGTTCAAATTATAATAATTAATCTTTTATTTCATGGATTTGCTATAAAATGCAAATATTAGATACAAATAGTAAATTTACTGAAAGTATTGTATACGGTAGAAATCGGGGCTACCCAATTTCATTCTTTGGTCAAGATAGGAAGGTCACGTCGAAGAGCCACGATGCCGAGGTTGACCTCGATTACGGACCGGAGAGAGGCACACTTCAAGTGATATCGGCAGCTCGATAACGGAACATGCGAGATATCTGCAGTTGATCGAGAATCGTGGCACGAATCTCGGAACGGATTGATCTTCGGTGGTTAATCAGTTGTCATGTATGATTTCCTACTATAATTAGAAGTGTACCTTATTTAGGACTCCCCTATTATATAAAGAGGGATCTCATTCATTTGTAAACATCATTGTTCACTGAAAAGAATATATACATTCATTACTTTCTTGCTATTTCGCTTACTGTTCATCAGAGTTGCTTTATCAGCTGTTATTCCTATTATCACACCTCGAGACTACCACAAGTTGAGGTCGGAAATTGGCTTGCATATTGGTTTAATTTATTTTATTCTCGGATTTATCTATTTAATTCCTCGTTTATCAATTGGTATTGGATTGAATCACATATCCTTAAAACCATAATATAAGTTTAATTGTTACTCGAATTTTACGGTAAACAGTTTGGCGCACACCGTGGGACTAAGGATAATAATGATTGTTCGATGCTGATTCTGATAACACACATTATTTCACGCTTGTTCTTGTCAAGTGTTTTTGCTCTCAGGTTAAAATATGTCAAACTCACAAAACGCACTCACATATGGTGATGATGGTCACAGGTTTCACGGGAAAACGACAATGTAATTGCTCCAGGGGGTGGGGTACCACCGGCTAATCTTGAGCAAGCACCGGTTGCTGATCGATGTCAGTTTGTACATTGCTCTAAATGCAGACCTAGGCACGGACCCCGAAGGAAGTGTGCGTAGGGAAGGCCGATATGGTGGTCAAGGTATACAGGGCAGATGAGACAGAGGAGTTAGTCTCCAGGTGATATTCGGAATGCTACAGGCTCAACAGGCCGTTATTGCTCAGTTGCAAAATCAACATGAGACCCCAAGTGGGGTCGAGCCAGAAATCACTCGCCGTACCGAGCCAGTGCCAAAAAGGTCGAATGATAATGAATCGGGGAATGATCCTGCAATAATGAAACTGCTCGAGGAGCTCACCAAAAGAATTGAGTCAGGAGAGAAGAAAATTGAAGCTAATGATAAAAAAGTGGAAAAATACAACTCTCAAGTTGATCAGATACCGGGTGCACCCCCGATCCTAAAGGGTTTGAATTCGAACAAGTTCATGCGGAAGCCTTTTCCTCAAAGTGCGGCTCTGAAACCCATTCCTAAGAAGTTCCGTACGCCGGACATACCTAAGTGTCACACCATTTTTTTTACAACTTCACTAACTCTTTTAAATAAATAAAATGATTTAGTAAAGCTCAAAAGGGTTTTCAATTAGAAAGTGACAAAAATTTGTGTTCAAAAGGATTAACTCAGAGTCGCCACCTAGCATTGGGTTTCGGTGTGCCAGGTCACCGTTCAAAAGCAATTTCTCCTTTCAAAACACATGGACTTCAAAACTAAGTCTGCACCAGAGATTCGGGTAAGTGGTTCATTTGACTCAGGGAGAAGGTATTAGGCATTCCCCGAGTCCCGTAACTAGTACGGTTGCGTACTCGATCTAGTTGGTTTAAGAATATTCGAATTGAGGTAAAAATAAACACATAAAAGCAAAATAAACACATGTGAGGCTCGAGGTCGTCCCCACCTAATAAAAGAAAAATAAAAATACTACGAGTTCTACTATCGACCTTCGAATACAAATACTTCGGGGCATACCCCGGAATAAAATATATACAAATCCTTCGGGGCATTCCCTAGATAAATTTAACTAAGGGAACGACCTCTCGCCTCGAAACTAACAAAAATCCTAAGGCTTGCCTACCTAAGTGTGGTCGGCCTAGACATACATTCTAACAATTAAATAAGAAGAGTAAAAATAAATAAACTAAAGTAAATAAGATTCATTTCATGCTCATTCTCCTTTTTTAACTTTTCATTTTTCATTTTTCATATATTCAGACCGAGCTCAATCCTAAAGCATGTGAATAAAGTAAACACTAACGGGCTAAGTCTTTTCCCTTTTCCCACGGTCTAATTCCATCCCAAAAAATAAAATACTTCATATACCAAACATGACAAAATGAGACACCTCAACATACAGACATCCAAGCATAAGAAATGGGAACAACAATAACAGAATTAAAAAGGTGAATTAATATATGGTACTGGCCATCTTATCTTTATATTCAATTCAAAACTGACTTCTACATGAATGAGAATTCATTTTTTTGAATCTTTAATTAATGATGAAGAAGGTAAATAAAATCAGCTCTTCATGGTAAAAATATGACTATTAGCTTTACACGAACATTATATTGATTAAATTAATACTTTTAGGTTAGAACAAAATTGTAGTACTCAAACATTATTATAAATTACAGCAGACTCGTTAAAAGAACGACTTCACCTAACCGACACCAAAGAGAGGGACAACTTTTAAGTTATATATCATTAAGTTTTGTCAAGTTGTAACTTGTTATCAACCACAAACAAGAACTTGATTACAAACAGAGCCAATACTCAACGATAAATATTGCATTCACCACATATAATTTCATAATCATATCATCTAATGAGATAATAAATTAGAAGAAAAAAAATGAGAGACGTAGAACAAGATATGCTAGGCAAAATCAATTTATTTCAGCTAAGCCGTGGACAAACATGTAAGAACACTAAAATTAAAAGAGTGTGGATAAGAATGGACCTCAGGAGTGAAAGCTCTTTGAATATAATGTTTATGATCAGAAACCTTGGACGCACCTCGATGGAGTCGCGAACAAATCTGAGCTCAAATTAGAAAACCCGAACAGACCCAAAATATTTCAACTCAACTCTATTTGAATGATTCTTAGCTTCTTTTTTCGAAATCAAAGGCAGTAAGGAACCAACATATTCTGATGGTTTTTCTTTTGGATCCGAATAAGAAAACTGAAGCAAAATGGGAATAATCTTTTTACTACTTCTTGTATTTTGAGGAAGAAAACTAGAACAAGAATTAAAATCTTTTCTGTTTGCGTAATTTGTCTTGGAATTCCAGAAGGGGAGAAAGAAGACCTAAAGTTCTTAGATTTTCTTCAACTTCTTTTCTCACTTATCTTGCAAGATCGCCTTTGGGAGGTCTTAGTAGTGTTCACGGCTGAAGAGATTCAGCTAGGGTGTAGGTTCAATCTTCATGAAGAAGATGAAGGAGATACGCTGGGGGGTTCTCTTTTTGCGGCTGATCCCTAGTCTTAGCTCTAGGGTTTAATTAAAGGGTAGGGGTGTTGGGCTAAGGGTTAATTTTGGGGCAATGGGGATTTGGGCTCAAGGGCTAGTCCGAAATTGTGCCATTTTCTTGTCCAAAATTGAGCTAAAATTGTCTTGAATTAACTAACAATTGGACTTCTTAGAAGATCTGGATTTCGTTAACTAAGGGCCTAAGTTTTCCTTATTTAAAATAGTATAAAGCATTTAAAAAAATGTAAGACTACTCCCAATTAATTAAAATAAACTATTAAAGATAAACCATAATTGAAACTGTTTTCTTTTAGGTATTTTTCGAGGTTAAAAATGACTACAAAACATTAATGAAAATATTTTTTGTAACTTTTATTTTCTTGTAATAAAATAAAGTAAAAGAGTCAAAATTAGTTGAAATAGCTATATTAGGCCTAAATTAAATATTTACATGCTAAGATATAAAAAATCTTGGGGTGAGTCAAAAATTACATGTATACAGTTGCCCCTCTTTGACTGGAAATACAAAGTATTTTCAGACAAAGAACGACTAGACAGATTTTTTGACCCGACCCTTATTTAGGAAGACCAAAAACTAAGAGAAAAGAGGAGAATGTGACCAAGCCCTGGTATTTGAGATGCCTACATATCTTTAGCTATAAAAGAATATGGCCACGTGTTGTTCAGAAGTAGGAACAGTGATGGAGTGTACCGAGGTGGAGAGCTGATCAAGGTGCCGTTCTGTCGATGTTCCGGTCTGCGGTCCTGTTTTTACATCAAAATAAAAAAAAAGAATGAAAAAGACTAACTAAGCCTGTCAACTATGAGTTACAAGATTCTTATCTATAAGTCTTCTGAAGCTTGATCTTAAGTCTTGAATGGTTCTTCATGCAGACTTTAGATTTGAACCTTGACGCTTGCTAGTTGCAGGTGTTAGTTCATTCTTTTTCGGCTTTTCGAATCAAAACCGGACACACCATGCTTGTGAATTTAGTCATATCTTGAGCAATCCACCTCTTATCTCAGCTTCTGTATTTTGGATTCACTTCCCTTTTCTTTTTCTTTTTCTTTTTTATTCTGGATTGAGATTACCTCTATTGATCATCTCGAACTGTTGGCTCGCATTCTTGTCGCGAGCTTCTGCTACTTCTAACTTGAATTGGATTCTGAAATGACTTCTCTTATTCTACAGGTGGGCGCCTACTACTGACTTGAAACTTGAAATAATTCCGAAACGAATTCCCTCATTCTCCAGGTAGGGGCCTGCAATCAAAACAACAAAACAAACAAAATTTTCTGCCTCAGTTTGCACTAGGAAGATTTGTGAGTTGTAAGCAAAACTGTAAATCACTTATGTTATTGATGCAATGATGAGAGCAAAATTAAAGACTCGACTGGGATGTGCATCTCCTGTGAGTAAAACTAAGAAAATTTGACTAGCAAATTCATTAGACTAGGTTTTCTTTTTTTTTGTTATTATCTTAGGAGAAAGTTCAAGAGATAAGGTTTTCTATCTTAGGAGAACAATCCATCAGACTAAGATTCTATCCTAGGAGAAAATTCATCTGACTAGGTATTCTATCTTAGGAGAAAAATTCATCAGACTAAGATTTCGATACTAGGAGAAAATTCATCACACTAGGTCCCTTTTGTTATCTTAGGAGAAAAAGTCATCAGACTAAGAATTATATCCTAGGAGAAAGTTCATCAAACTAGGTCTTCTATCTTAGGAGAAAAATTCATCAGACTAAGGTTTCGATCCTAGTAGAAAATTCATCAGACTAGGTTTTCTTATCTTAGGTGAAATATTCGTCAGACTAAGATTTCGATCCTAGGAGAAAAATTCATCAGACTAGGTCTTTTGTTATCTTAGGAGAAAGATTAATCAGACTAAGATTTTTATCCTAGGAGAAAATTCATCAGACTAAGATTTTTATCCTAGGAGAAAATTCATCAGACTAGGTCTTCTTTTTTTGTTATTATCTTAGGAGAAAGATTCATCAGACTAAGATTTTGATCTTAGGAGAAAATTGTGATGACCCGGCCCGTCGTCTCATGAGTTACCACCCCGTTTCCCCCATTTTTATGCTTCTTCATATTTCATTTTCGGTATTCGGTGATAGAGTTAAATCGGATTGGCTTTGATAGGAAATGAGACACTTAGTCTCTTTAAGGAAGGCTTGTTTTGGAAAACGTCAACCGAATGTTGACTATTGAGTTAGAGGGATCGGATGTGATTTTCGGTGATTCGTTTAGCTTCGGGGGATGATATGTGGCTTAGGAGTGTGATCGGAATTTATTTTGGAGGTCCGGAGTAGAATTAGGCTTGAATTGGCGAAGTTAGTATTTTGGCGAATTCCGGTTGGCAGGTGAGATTTTAATACGGGGGTCGGAATGGAATTTCGAGAGTTGCAGTAGCTTCGTTAGGTGATTTTGGATGTTTGTGCAAAATTTCAGATCATTCTGAGGTGTTTTGGTCGGGTTTTTGATCAAATGCGTATTTCGGAAGTTTTTAAGAAATTAGGCTTGAATTCGATGAGTTTTGGGTAATTTAATATTGTTTGAGGTATTTTGATGATTGGAAGAGGTTTGAATAATGTTATTAATTATGTTGGCATGTTTAGTCGGGGTCCCATGAGGCTCGGATAAGTTTTGGAAGAGTATTGGAAGAGTTTTGTCGTTTGAGCATAAGCATGTAATAATCCAAAGGTCCATTTTTAATTCTAGAGATCGAAATTTTATTTTGAGATTTCCAAAATTTAAATAATGAATTATAGGAGTGATCTGGAAAGTTTGGTCTAATTTCATCAAGTCGCGATTGGGTTTTTGACACGAAACATGAGTTAATTGCTTAACGAGCGAAATGGATATCGCACTGAGCAAACAAGCTCCGAATTGAGTTTCGATTGAAGGACTATGTTCGTATCATTATTTTTGACTCATAGGAACAAGAATCATCGAATTCCAAGTTCGTATGATGGAGTTAGAGCCATTTTAGTAAAAAGAAAAGTGCTGCAATTTCTTTGGCTGTTGCTGTATTTTTTTAGTAGCGTGAACAGTAACCGCGCGGGTGAACAGTGACCACGCGCGTGAACAGTAACCGCACGCGTGAACAGTACTTCCGAAAAATTTTGGGCAGTGAGTTTATAAAACACTTCATCCGCGATTTTGGGTCATTTTTCCTCCATGATTGATCATTTTGAGAGCTTCTTGGTGGAGATTAAAGAGGGATTCAAGGGGGAACGACTTGAGGTATGTTTCTTGGACTTAGAACTCATTTTTATTGTGAATTCCACCTAGAGATTCATGAAATATAAGCCTACAAATCAAGAACTAGGGCTTGAATTTTGAAACCAAACAATTAGGATTTGATGGGNGACCAAACAATTAGGATTTGATGGGTCATTTGAACTCGGATTTTGGTGGTATCTATAGACTCGTGGCGAGACGAGGAATCCGGTGATGTTAATTTTTTGATTTTTCAAGATGTGGGCCCGGGGATCGGGTTTTGTCAAATTCGTGAATTTTGATATTTTTCGATTGCTTTCGATTGGGTATTGT